ATAATAATAATAATAATAATAATAATAATAATAATAATAATAATAATGATAATGATAATAGTGATTTAAGTTTTTTAAACATTTTCTTTTTCTTTCCTAAATTACAACGAAATGAATTTTCCTTCCTATTTTTTATTTTTTGGAAATAAAGAAAGGAGCAAAACTACTGCATTTAACTTCTTTCCCGAAGAATAGCTGTCTTTAAATAATTGAAAAAAAAGGCGAAATTAACTTATCGAATATTTTCTTCATTTATTCCACTAAATGAAAATCTTTCTTTTCATCCATAAAAAAAGGAATACATTTCATTTTGAATTACATTTTAATCATTGCTAAAATATCTTCCATTAATATTTCTGCAAAAAAATTTCTTTTGTTTTTAATGACAACCATTTCTTGGGATAATATAAAAATTGAAAAATTAAATTTATCATTTTTTGCAAATATTTTCCACAAATGATATTTGTTACATTTGCATGGAATATTAGTATGATTTTAGCTGCCAAGAGTGCATGGAGTGGCTGTCAAGAGATGATAAAATTTGAAGGAAAAATTTCTTACAAAATTTGTAGAAAATAATGAAAAGAAGAATTACTGCGAAGAAAAAGAGAAAATGACCATTTACTCTGCAACATTTTGATATTATAATTTTATTGATCTTTTGAAGAATATATGTTCTAATTGAAATAATTTAATTGAAATTAGCAAGTTCAACAAAGATCTTTGTTTAAATTTTTAGGAGAGTCATCTTGAATTCCTAATTAAGCATTAAAGCATTCGTCATCCAATAAAGTTAAATATGAATTTACAAATCGGAGAATTTCATCCTTAATTATTTTACACTTTAATTCTAAGAGTTTAAATTTGACAATTGCTGTTTCAAAATTATTTCAAAAAATCATTCGTAATTTCTCATTAAATAATTTTCCTTCCATTTTATATGTTTGTTTACCTAACAAATTTTCGAAATCAAATAAAACTTACTTCAAAATAACAATGAATAATTCTTATCTTGAATCATTTCAACCTATCAAGTGTTCCTCTATTCTAAAATTATCCACTTGAATCATCCTAAAGATAAACTACATCAATCATTTTAACGTCAACATTAGCAATCAATGCAACATCGTAATATTTCCTACTCTATTACTAATACAAATTGTTGTGTTAAAATTGCAAAAAAAAAATTTAACTATAATTATCTTTCTCATGATATCATTGTTAATATCAAGAATTATATCACTGTTAAGATCACTATTATCCATTTTAGCATTATATGCTAATTTAATGAAAAAATTCACATAAATATAGCAATAATCGATTTTTATAAATTACAATTTTAATCAAAATTTGAATATCATTGATCTTTTTCTCTCAGAAAATTTTGATTTTATTTATGAGAGAAAATTTTTGAACAAATTATAAAATAATTTTATCGAGTAAATTATAATTTGTGCTACTGATAGGAGAAAAATGATTATTTCATCATCAATAAATTATCACTGATAAAGAGAACGAAATATAACGGATAAGAGAAAAATGATTCAATTAAATAAATTATAAATATTTCTGATTAACAAGAGAAATGGTGTAGTAAGAAAAAAATCTGAAATTTATTTTTTCAACTTAAACTGTTGATAGAATGATAAATTTAGCAACAAAATTTGTTAAGGGAATATTTCTAAAAATAATTTCATAAATACTAATTTTAATTTATGCAAAAATAAAAAGCAGAATTGTCAAATTAAGAAATCCTAATTTTAATTTGCTATAACATAGTTTAAAATATGTAAAATGAATTCAAATTCAAATCAAGATTTTTAATTTATCATGATATCATCATAGTTATGAATTTGTTAATGATTTCATTATAAATATTTTGAATATCGTCTTCAAATTTATTGTTAATTTTACATTTGCATTTCTTTTGCATTCATTTGTTATATTTTGCTTATTATTTTTTTGCTGATCTCATTAGATTATATTCTTTGTATATCAATAAATATTTATCAGAGAATGCAAATATCATTACAATATCGTATCGTTTTTCATTCTCATCCTAAATTTTCTCAACAAAATTGCAGTATAAAGCGACTTTGCATGATATTACATTAAAGTTCCATGATATTGCATTAAAGCAACTTTCCATGATATTGCTTAAAGCAACTTTGCATGATATTACATTAAAGCAACTTTCCATGATATTACATTAAAACAACTTTCCATGATATTACATTAAAGCAACTATCATGATATTACATTAAAGCAACTATCCATGATATTACTACCATTAGCTAATTTTAGCAAATCATTCAAAAAGTGAGGTAATCAAAAAAAAATGAAATTAAAGTTAAATAAATGAAAGTGTGTTAGATGTAAGTAAATTGCATAAGATGTCATAATAAATTATATAAATAAGATAAATGGAAAGGTGGTAATTATATGAAATTTGAAATGAAATAATTCTCAGCAATTCCATCCTAATAAAATCAACTAATTTTTGTTGACTTTATTATTTAACAATAATTAGAGGTTACTATCATATTGCATTTCAAGCATATGATCGTTTATTTATTAAATTTAACATCATCACCACGTAACTAACAATGTGAAGATTTTCAACAACGTAAAAGATTGGTGGCCTAAGATTTTTTTTCATTTCTCATTTGTTGCTCACATTCTCTTCATCCAGTAAAATTCAATACATTGTTGAAACTCTACTCTCTATACTTTATATCATTCAACTGACAGAGCAATAATCCTTCGTTATGCGCAAATATCTCTATTCATGTATTTATATTTAATGTGCATTTGTCGCATTAAAGAAAACTTTGATTACGTTAATGTCAAAATATAAGTAGTATTAGTTTCAGATTTGATGGATATTATTTTATTGGATTTTATTGTAATAACAATAATTTTAAATTATTTAAGAAATGCGTGGGAGTATATGATATTTCGGAAATGAATAATAAAAAGTATATAATTAACGTTTCAAAATAGTGTATTGTTGTTTGATAGAGTGAACATCTTTAATCGGAGTGGACATCTAATAGAAAGAAAGATGATTATGACAGTCTTTGTTTCAGTTTTAGATTTACGAAAAAAGTTGGATTAGGCTGAAAAGGAGAAATGATGAATTACAATTACCTTGCATTATTAATTGAAATATGTCACATTAATGATCAATTTAGACCGATCAAAGATTATTCTGGAAATATTGCTTCAAAAGCGATATATTGCTTTCTTTAAACTCTAATTTTGCAATTTATTTCCACTTACTCTGATCACTGTATCGTATTGAGGTGGAGCAATTTGTCCTGATGATTGAGCTGATTTACTTTTCATCATGAAACGTTTCTGGAAATGGGTTGTGGATCAAAAAATAAGTACTGTTCGAAAATGGCAATCAGTTATGCTACATCTGGATCGTGATCATCAGGATGGAAGACATATTAAACTGATCAGTGGTAGCGATGATGAACTGAGACGAGAGCAGAAACGAAATTCAAAGATTCTACAAGAGGAAAATGATGATTACCAGTCCAGTATTTCGTTACAGGATTTTGATATGGCATATAAGAGTGAACCGCTCGATTTTGAAGAGTTTTTCAAAGAATCATCGGTTGCCATCGAATCAGCTTTGGTTAATTTTTGCTCAATTTTTTGTTTTTTGTTTTTCACATTAAAAATTACAATTTAAAATTTTATAAAATTAAATGAGTTCAGAATTTTAGCTTTATTCAAAACGTGAAAATTCAATAATTTTAAGATCTAAGATTTCTGTTTAATTCTTAAACCTGAATTTAGGAAAAATCTATTTTTGTTTGTGAAGAATTAGTTATTGATCGAGGTATTCCATCAAATGTACAGTAATTCCTAAATGAGTTTTATAGAGTTTTTCAGATACTAATAATCATCGGTTATAATTTTTCTTTGCATTAATTCCAAGCTATTCATTATATTATCACCTTATCTTATCATTCTTCCTTAACGATACCATCACAATGGTTACTAAAAATATTAAAAAGTGCACTTTATATTTCGAAGAGTAATTTAGAATTTTCCCCGAAAAACTAAGTTCTACATTTTTTCGTTAAATAGATTTTATCAGGAACCGGAAAGTTACACCGAATATAAATATGGGTTTAGTTTTAAACTTGACTAATCCTAATCTAAATCAAAAGTGGATAATTAAAAAAATTTTTTAAACTTTATTTTTTTTAATTAATAAGATCAATCATTTGTAGCAATATTATCACTGAAGAAAATCTTCGCATCCACAACTTCCTATCAGTTTATCATTTTGATTTATAATTTGACCACACTTCCTATCAGTTATCATTTTGATTTAAAAGATGATTTGAGTGAGTTTCATTCATAAATAAATATCTTATAAATAAATACTGATATATAATTTAAAATTTTCTATTTTTTATATTTTGTTTCATTTTGTCAACGATTCTAAATAATTCGTTATATTAAGAAATACATTATTGATTATTAACAGAGAAATTTTCTCAATGTATTTTTATTTTATAATTTTCATTTACGATGATGGGATGGGATGGATGATGGGATGAGATGATAAAACATCAATAAATGATAAATGATATTAAATTTTTCTTACATTTTATTGACAGATGAAAGGAGTGCGATTAAAGAGGAATGAATAGAAATTTTAGAAAATATAAAAAATTTATTGGTTAATTTGTTTAAAAGGATCGTGAAAATGAAATTAAATTTCTCAAATTTCAAACTTATTTCTAAGCTGTTTACTTTTTTAAAATGATAATCTCATTGTAAACATTTTAATACTTTAAATTCTTGTTATTGAGGTTTGTAGAGTTAGTTCTTAGTAAGATTATATAAGCGGAGGTATTAGATCAATAGGCCCTTCCTATCAGTAAAATTATATAAGCCGAGGCATTAGATCAATAGGTCTTTCTATCATTAAAATTACATAAGCGGAGGTATTAGATCATTAGCTCTTTCCTATCAGTAAAATTATATAAGCGGAGATATTAAGATCAATAGAACTCTTTCCACTACATTGTTTTAAGACTCACCGCTGTCCTGAAATCATCGTACAAACAAATATCGTCAACCATTTCTCAAATATTCTCCTTTATATCGATTTTCCCGATGCTAAATCATCATTTTATGATCTCAATGATAATGCTTGTAGTTAATTAAGTCATATAATATAAAAATAGCAGAATCAATAATATCAGGTGCTAGTAATGCTTGCTGATTTGTTCAAATTTTGCATCAAGACTTATTGGTGCTAAGATGCCTCGTGCTGGGATCGAACCAGCGACCTTCTGTTTACGAGACAGACGCTCTCCCACTGAGCTAACGAGGCTTCGAACGCACCTTGGAAAGGTTTCTAACTCAATGTAAAATTTAACTTTTCGTAAAAGTTATGTTCATGCTAGTAAAGAATCATTTGGTACATTATTCTGCGATGATATAACTCCTCAACTTCCTCTCTCAATCATCATTTCAGTCATTCTTACCTATTCCCCGCTATATCCCAGAAATAGAACTGCGATGATATGTTGTTGTTAACATGCTGTCAATTAACATTTTCCACTGCAACAATAGATTCGATGAAGCTCCAACTGGTCTATCCTAAAATAACTAATCCGTCTATATTAATTAGTCTACATTAAGCATCTGATATGTTAATTAATATAATTATCCATTCATTTATTACAGGAAAGAAAGCATATCGGTTCAATGTCAAATCAAAAAAAGTTATCACTAGCAATGGAATTATCATCAAATCTTAGGTATTTAAAATGTCTGTTGATAAATGTTTTACATTTCATTAAAATTTTTTAATTAATTTTATTAAAAAAAAATTGCATTAATGTAATTTTAGCTTGGATAGTCCATCAGGATCATTCCGACGTAATAAGCTGTCAAAGAAACCGACAATTATGATTACCAATTTGAATAACAATTCCACGTCAGTACTACTTTATCACGTTTCATTTACGATCTATTATCTTAAAGTTTCTCCCTCCTTCTCTCTCTCTCTCTCTCTCTCTCTCTCTTGCTTATTTTTCGATGAAGATAACGATAGAACGTAAGATATGATTATAATTAATTAATGATATAATTCTAATTAATTTTAAACATATTAATATTATCATTTTGTTAATAAAAATATTTGTTACCCTTTTTTTTTCACATTTCAGGGAAGTGGAAGATGATTTCAACGGTGAATTCGATGAACTTTCATCTTCTCCACTTATTACTTCTCGTAAGCTAACTGCTACTCCTCAGGTTTGTCCATTCATTACTTTTCAGTTAACTAATTAGTTTGGTATAATCATTAACCATTGTTCCTCAGGTTTGTCCATTCATTACTTCTCAATTAAGTAATTAGTTGATATAACCATTTCGTTTTATCCTTCAAATTGCAACTATTAATGCAGATAATTCATTAATATTTCATTTTGTTTTATTTTAATAAATCATTTTTTCTTTTCAATAGTTTAATTTAAAATTGAAACTTTTTCAGATGTCAACAGCAACATTAATTCCGAGTGAATCACTCAACTTTCTGGCAACTGCAAATGATGAAGGTAGTAATATATCTTCTTCCTCTTCCATTTCTTCCAATCCGTTGGGTATTGCACCGGATACAGAAGATAATCTAATCACTAAATGTCGTACAATATCATTAGCAAGTACAAGCAATAGTTTGCATGATGATGATAAGGAAAAATTGGATGAAAAGAGAAAGAAATCATCATTACAAAACTTTCGACTTTATAATTTACAGGTAAATGATTTAATAAACTAACCTTTTTTACTTACATTAGCTTCTGTGCCAATAATTCTTGTAATTTTAGTATAATAATATTTTAAAAATGAATTGTTGCAGAAATTTTGTAGCATTTTTTTGAGCAAATATATAATTTGATTAATTTTAATTTACTAAAATTTATCTATTTTATACTAAAATTACTAAAATTACGGTATTTTATTTACCATTAAAATTTGATTAAAATGATACTGTCATCAAATGTTTCATTTTTGTTTATAAAAGGAAGACTGTAAGAAGAATTACAGATGGAACAACGATCATTAAATAAACAACGTTCCATGGAAGTATTACCTTCTCTTACATCAGCACAAATTCATTTGATACGAAATATTTGGCGTCAAGTTTATGTAACAAAAGGTCCAACTCTAATTGGTTCAACATTATTACATGGAATGTTTTTTAAATCGAAAAAAATTAAAGAGCAATTCTTTCGATGTCCATTTCCTCATTGTTATCCCAATCGTGATAGTTTCAATAAAGCACATGCAAAAGCTATCGGTAAAATGTTAGATAAGGTAAGTGATATTACGATAATATATATATATTTATAATTAAAGAATCAATTTAATAGTTATCCGAGTGATATCAAAAATCTTATTCGCTGTCAATTTTTCATTTCTCATTATTTTATTTTCCCCTATCCTTCGGTAATTTATTCATTATTATTGATGATATTCCGGATTATTGAATATCCGATCAATTGTTATCGATGAATTTATAATCGATTCTAAAATTATGTCATTTGCAAAGATTATTCCTATCTCTATACTTTGTTTATTTTTTCCCCCATTTAATTGATTTTTCATAGTAAAATAATTAAAGAATTCTAAAAAATACCAACATTAAATATTTGTTTTGGAAATTAATTTGTATTAATTATAATTATTGTTTACAGATTGTTGACAATTTAGAAAATTTAGATGCAATATCTCCATATTTCTTTTCAATCGGTGCTGTACACACAAATGTTAGTTTAATTTTTGTAAACATTAAGCTAACAAAATTATAGTCAGCCTTGTAAATGAAATAAAATTGGAATCAATGAGAAGTTAATTTTAAAATGAAAACTGTTAGTTTAATTTTCGAATTATTTGATCCCAAAAAAAAAATCGATTATTTAATTTTCTCAAATTTATAATATAATTTAATAATTAATTGATTTGTTAACATTTGAAATCTCATTGATAATACTTTTCAGTTAACTCGACAAATGTCAAAGGAAGTATGGAATTTAATGGCGGAAACGTTTATCGATTGTACTTTAGATTGGGGTGATAAGAAAGGACGAACGGAAGCTTCAAGAAAAGCGTGGGCTTTCATTATCTCATTTGTTATCGAAAAAATTAAAGTGGGACATTTATATGAAGTAAGAAATATTTGCTCTTTTAAGATTTACAAAAACAAAGAAAGAATTCATTGAAAAATTTTGAAAGAAATAAATATTGCAATTATAATTATATAAAAATATTTTCAAAAGATTTCTTTGAATCTTTTAAAAATGCTCAAAAATTAATTTCTTAATCGTTGATCGCATTTGATAAACTGATTTCTTAATCACTGATCGCATTTGATAGATTGATTTCTTAATCACTGATCGCATTTGATAAATTGATTTCTTAATCGCTGATCGCATTTGATAAATTAATTTCTTAATCACTGATCGTATTTGATAGTAATAGCTTATCATAATCTTTCAAAAGAAACTTTTAATTGTAATTGTAATGATAAAATTTCAGCGACGACAATCATCCTTTCGTAGACGTTCATCAATAATGATTTTACCATCTCAAACAGAAGAAACAACAGCACTCACTTCATTACCATCTTCCGCTCCAACAGTTGAATTTTGGAAATCTATGGAAGAATTTGAACCACCTGTTCAAATGCTCTAAAATTATGTATTTGATATTTAAAAAAGTAAAAGAGAAAAACTAATGTATATTTTTTAAATTTCTTGTTATGCAAATAAACATAGTAAAATTCACGGAGTTCAGAGTTCATTCTTTTTCTCAAATGATTTTGTTAATGAATGAATGAGTGAATGAAACGAAAAACAATGACAGATATGAATTTGTTTATATTTAAATAAATTATTTTCAATTAATCTATTCTTATTTTTATTTCGAATTTAATTTCAAATTTTGATAAATTGACAATTTATTTTCTGATGAAGAAGATGAAGAAAAGAAAGAAACATTTGTAAAACAATTTTATTTACCCTTTGAAAAACTGTATGCTCAATTATATTCCATTTGTCGTTGTTCTATTTCAATTGTTTATTTTATATGTATGTTTGAAATAGAAAAACAACGTGAAATTATGAGTGCAATAAGAGAGGAAATTTATTTCCTACAGAAAAATCCAATTTCATATACCTTTCTAATTAAGACAGGTAAGTGAAAGGGTAATATGATTATAATATAGTATTTGTATTGAAATTTTTAAATTCTAACTTATTGTAATAAATTATTTTTGAAATATAAAATATCATCAAATTTCAACTCTCTTCCATATTTCACACTAATTTTGATGGTATAATTATTTATTTGATATTATCAAAAGTTCTCAGAAAGTTAAATCGTTTTCTTCTTCTTCATAGATAATTTTAGAAAACAATAAATTGCTTATTTGATGATATTTTTTTTAATTAATAAACTTTAGCTATTAAATGTAAACTTTTGAGAACAAATGACAGTCTTTTTCTTCAACCAAATAACGATGGTAAGTTGAAAACAGAAACTGTCATCAATTTTGTTCTTATGTACAGTAATTTTAATTAGCTAAATTTGTTATATTTGAATGAAATAAATAAAGAAACTAACTGATTAATAATTTCGAATTACGACATGAAAATTTCATGCAAATTAATTTTTAAGCAAAATTAAAAAATTGAAATATAATGAGCGAATTAATTAAACTAAAATATGAAATTAAAAATTAATTAAATTTAATTTTAGTATCGAATTTCTATTGTTTATTTATGCTTTTGATTTTTCTTAACTTACATCAACACTACCAGCTATATGTTCTCAATTAAACTTTTGTTTTTGTAATATAATAATTAGAATGATTTCATTGCAAAATTCACTTTCAAAAATATTTTTAATAAAAGAATTAATTAATGAATTTCATTCATTAAATTATGATAATTAATATTTGATAATTTAATATTTCTACAAAAATCATCGATACAAAATTATTATTTATTCTAATTATGCAATAATTATTTCTTTACTTTTTAACAATTAATTTATATTGCTAAATTAAATTTTAATTAATATAAAATTATTTTTAGTAATCTAAAATTATTATAATTATTTTATATTATAAAAAATCTTATACTTCTTTTTACAAAGTATTTTCCTATTTCTCCCAATAATTTTATTCAATTTCAGTGTTAATTTTACTATCAATATCTATATGTGTGGGTGTGCGTGGTGTTTGTGTGTGTGTGTGTGTGTGTGTGTGTGTGTGTGGGTGTGTGTGTAAATTTATAAAATCCCACCGAACGATATCATTAAAAAAAATGACCGGTGAAAATTGAGAAAATGAAATGATTGAAAGAGTAGGATATAATAATTGTAATGGGTGTGAAAACAAGAACATTCCAATGTATCAAAAAATTTACAATTATTTCTTTCGTTTATTTTCATACTCAATTTGAGCGATTGAGTAAACCCAACCAATACATTATGTGATATTCCATTCAACAATCGCGGGATTTTCCCCTCTATCTTTATTCCTCTCTTAGATCTCTCGATATTTTTTTCGTTCAAATTTACTATTCAGTCTAATTCAATTCATTTCAATTCAATTCAGTTCAATTCAATTCAATTCAATAATATTCCTTCTCTAATACATGTATGAATCACAATATTATTTCAGCCAATTTATTCAAAATTTTGTAACTCATTTTGTGATAAATTGAAAATTGAACGAATACTTGAAAGTTGAGGTGGTAACATTTACCAAGCACGTGAACATGAGTATGATGATGACAGTTACGCGTTATTTACCAATTATGCTATTCACTAACATTGTTAGTTTTTCATGAATTAATAATTTAATTTATTATTAATTAAAATTATATGGCCATTTGTTGAGGTCCGTTGTGGTCTAGTGGTTAGGATTTGCGGCTCTCACCCGCAAGGCCCGGGTTCGATTCCCGGCAACGGAATGGTTTGACTCTTGTAAGGGTTCATACCACATCCACCGGAGCACTTTTGAATTCAGAACAGATGCTTATTGAAATAATTATACAATTTGGAGTGTTTTAGTGTGCTAATTAGCCCTTAATTTCAACTATGCCTATACTGAAAATTGTTGATTTTAGTTTTAAATTCTTATTTTCAATTGCATTAATTATTTAATAATGCAAGATACAATTGAACTTATAAGTATGAATTAAATTTTTAAGGAAATTTCGCAATTAATTAGTGTCTGAAGGTTTAATTGATAATTGTTTTTTCAATCATATTTGTATAACAGTTAGTTCGAAAAGAAAAATCAACTAACTGATTTCATATGAATAAATTTTTGCGGCAGTTAGGAAAACAATAAGCTTATGTTTTATGATATAAATCATAGATTCTAGTTTATTAGTTCATTTAGATGGTATCATTTAGATGTGCCAAAATTCACTAGCAAATATCGGGATAATTGAGAATAGCGTTATTGATGAACCATTAGTTGAATGCGGTCTGGATGGTATTGCAATTGATGTGATCACTATGGACACATTTTATGGTAGATTATATGTTCAGGTATCATAAGTTTAACATTCAAATTTGTTCCATATTAACCGTCTCATGCAATGCTTTTAGAGTTATTTAATATTGATTGTTCTATCCAATCATCAACAAAATCTATTATACCATCATATGAATACATCTTATGAATCGATGATACTTACCGAGATAACTTAATAGATGAGGAATCAAAAAGCATTCTTCAATCATTTTTACAAATTCTTAACAGTTATCACCATCATTACGCTATATAAATATCTCATTAACAATTCCTGAGATTGAACAATTACTTAGAAAAAGTTACTATTGCCTTCTACAACTGTTGTTTCTTTAGTCAGTCAAGTAAGCATTAAAAGTTAAAATTCCAAGGGTGAAAGTGATGATCCTAATTGTGTAACATCATATTATGGAGATGAGCAACAATTATATTCTCTCGATAGATCGTCTACAAATAGCAAACAACAGTTAAGATTTTCGTTGAAATTTGGTGAGTGCAACATGCGACGTCAGCGCACGGTATCATTTAGCTGTTTTTCTTATGAAACATTGCTATTTCATTATAATAATTTTGTCTATTAAATTCAGAAACTGTGGAAGAAACTGATCTATGATAGAGAACTGATCTAATGGATAGTATAAAATCTAAATTCACCACTTATTGATCATTTGCTCATTTATTTACTTTTCTCTTTTACAAAATAATTCAATCGAATATATTTACAACTGTAGAAAATAGTATTTGTTATATTTGTCA